AGATCCCCCATCTCAGGCTGGGGCGGTGGAAAGGAGTGGGGAGGTATGGGGACCCCTGCAACATCTGGGCCAGCTCCAGCGCCCCACCTGTCAGAGAGCCACAAATTCCTCCACCTCCAGGCTTGTCTTCTTTTGGAACCTCCAGCCCTCGCCCCACTCCTTGGACCTTTGCTTCCTCTCTCCCCAGCAGATACACAGAGCAGACAGGTTGGGACAAGAAACATTTATTTAGGGGCCTGGGGGCTCAGCAGTGCCCCAGCCGACCCATCATGCAGCCTTATGTACAGTGGGCATTGGGCCCGCCCCTGGGATATTGCTGAGGGGGGCCCCATGGCAGCAAACAGGGCAGTGTGGCTTGAACCCCCCTCCAAGGGGGAGAAGTGGAGCAGGGGCCAGTGGGTAGGAGAATGTGTCCCTTCCACTGTATGGGAGGGTGTGACTGTGCCCAGGACGGGGACTGGCATTGGCTGGCACGATCAAGGGCACAAGAGGAGGCTCTGAGCTTGGGGGGAGAGGGAGGTTGGCACCAGAGAAAAGCAACCTGAAAGGGAGGGGTCCTCTTCATGAGTGCCAACCCACCAACAGGGTGCCTACCCCCTTCCTTTCCTGGTGGCCAAACACAATGATTTGCTGCCCTATCTCCCACTCCCTCTTCCTCCCAGAACTCTGTATCCAGGACAAGGGCACAGATACAGCCAGAAGAGGGACCCCTGCACTGAAGGAGGGGTCGCAGTGTTTCCTACAAAGCCCAGAGAAAGGGAGTGAGCAAGGGCCATCTGGAGGTCAGTCCTGAGGGCTGGGCTCCTGGGGGGGTGGCCTTGTGAGGCCTGGGACAGGAACTAGGAAATACTGACTCCCTGGGGCTGGTTGGCCATGGGGGACCAGGGAACTTGCAGAGTCCTGACAGTGAAACGGGGACTTGTTTTTTGTTCTCAGTCGGTTTCTGTTCATGTCCTTCTTGAGTGTCCTTTTCCGGTGGACAAGGGTACGATGAGGCTGTTCTATTTTACTTGAGGAGACAGTCTCTGGTTTGCAGCGCTATCCCCGGAACTCGGCCCTCCCCTCCTCTGTCCGCCCAGGTTTCAAGTAATAGGAGAGATTTCCGCAGAACTTTCCTGAGGAGTGATGGAGTGACAGAGGTGGGGACACCAGGAGGTGGACTCAGGATCCTCCTGCAGCCCCGAATCCCCTCCCAACCCAGGGCAGAGAGCTGAGGGATTTGGGAAGTCACCTTCCCAAGGTCCCACTTCCAAAGCGGCAGCCGCAGGGTCACACACACATAGACCCAAGCAGAGGCTCTGTGGGGAGGGGGGAATGGTGCCGGGCATGCAAAGGTGGTGTGGACATGAGAAGGCTCTCTGGACAAAGCAGCGAGAAAATTCCTCAGGAATGCCCCCCTCCCCAGGGCCGCACTCAGCATGGCAACTGGGGGTGTCTGGGCACTGGCTGGACCCACCTGGAACTTCCTCATTCCCTCCCACTTTCTCCTCCTTCCTCACCCCCGAGTCCCAGAGCAGCAACTCCCTCAGGGCACCCTGGGACCCAAGAAATAAAACCTTCCTCTGTGCAGAGGGCTCCCAAGCCATGGGGGGTGGCTCCTAGGAGAGAGGCAGAGGGAGGAAGAGTGTGGGCAGATGCCCGTTCCTCTCCAGGGCCAGAAGCAAGGGCCAGGCTCGGGCAGGGGTGGCATCTGGGTTCTCTTGGCTCCTCTCAGATCTCGGTCAGGGCGTCGGCTGGCACCAGGCCCCGCTTCTTGCCGCTGCTGACGCGGATGAAGCCGTCAGCATCCTTGCTCCTGCCCACACCCACACAGATCTGAGTGGGAGAGACACGGAGCTGAGTCCTGGCACCTGCCTACAGCCCTGGCCCCGAGTCCGGCTGATGGCTCCCAGGGGGCCACCCCGGGGAACGATGGGACCAGGATCAGATGTGGTTGGAGACATCAGCTGGGGTGATGGGAGCAGATCCCATGAGGGCACTGGGCACGGCAGCAAGACCAGAACATCAGCAGACACTGAGCAGCACTTTGGGGCTGGCCTGAGCTCCACCTCCCCGCCCCCCCCTCCCCACCACCGCCCTGGCAGAACTCCCATTTCACAGAGGGGGGAAGGGGAGGAAAAGGGCTTGCTGGGGGTTATGCAACAAGACAGAGGTATAGCCAGCATTCAGACCCCAGCCTCTAGACTCCTAATCCAGTGCTCTTTCCCTCCCCCAAGCTGTCTCTAACCACATTCAGCCCCCTGCCTGTGTCAGTCACCAGCCCCGATTCCCAGCAGGGTCTGACAGGAGGCCCCGCGGTCACACCTTTCTAACCTGCCTTCCCTCCTGCTGCCAGGCTGCAGTGTCCTCCTCCAGGGCAGTCGCCTGTGCCCCCACCGCCTCTCTCCCATGTCCACCTCTCCAGCCACTGCAGAGCCCAGGCACTCACCTGGTTCTCCTTGAGGCTCATGTACCCCTGTTCCTTGTTCCCGGAGAAGGGTTGGCAGCTGCGCCAGACGTTCTCTCCTGGCCTTACGCGCTGCACAAAATTGGCTGGGAAGAAGCCAACCCGGTCGCCAATCTTCCCCTGGGGATGAGGCTGGCAATGAGCACCAGAGCCCCCCGCCCCACATTGATGCAACTCAGAGCCAAAGCCATCAAACTCCAGATCCTGCGCTCTCTCTATCCAGAGCCCCCAGTAGGGTGGCTTCTGGACTGCGATGGGCATGAGGTGGGTAGGGGGACAAGGCTGAGGCAGGGAGGGTCAAGGTGAGAGCAAGTCCCAAGTGTTGGTCCTATGGGCTTGGCTAGGGCACGTGGTGGGAGGAGGGGTGGTCTTTGGGCCCGGAGAGAAGGTGGGGCAGTGCCAGTTGAAGTGATGGAAAAGGGTCGGGTGCCTACCGGGGTGTCTCTGCTCCCCACCCTGCCAAGTCACCTTCCACCAGTCCTCGTTAGAGTCATCCACCAGCAGGATCCGGTCCCCAGGCCTGGGAGGACAGAGCTGGGGTCGCAAACGGACAGGAGGGACCTGCCTTTTCTGCATCTTAACCATCTTGGGTCCCCCAGGTCCCCAGCATGCCCCCCCTCCACAGCGGGGGGAGGATTCTTGACGCCCTCGGAGGACACGGTGACCACAGGTACAGCAGACTCTCTCTAAGACAGAGCCCGGGCGGGGCAGAAGATATGACATCAGCACCAGTCCCTTTTGGACTCTGGGCAGTCTAGCTCTTCTTTGGGCTCAGCTGCCTCAAGCATGCCAGGAGAAGTTTCCCGAAGGTCCCCCTCACACTCATGTTCCAAGGTCTGGGAGCAGAGCCCTGAGGTTGGAGCCAGGTGGCTGTCCAGGGGGGCCGGACCACAAAGAGGACTTACTGCAAAGCCAGGTCATTGTTCTCTTGGGGCAGAAACTTGTAGAGAGCGACATAGGAGTACATGGGCCCCACATCCTTCCGCAGAGGGGGTTTTGCGGGCTGTGGAAAAGTCTGGATCAGTGACGGGAGGGGGACACGATCCTCGCTCCACCCACCGTTCGCTTGCCCTGACCTTACCCTCTCTGGGGGGGTGGGGAGAGGTTGGCTAGGAGGTGGGACACGGTGAACCTGGGTCAATGACAGGGAGAGGTCAGACTCTCCTACCTTCTGTGTTCACCCTCGGGGGACTGGGCCAAGGATGGAGAAGGGGAACATTCCTCTGCCTGCTGCACCCGGGAACTGCCCACTCGTGGGGAGTGGGCCCAGGAGTGGGCACGATAGCCATTGGCTCCGCGGTGGGAGGGCAAATACCCCCTGCCTTCCTCGCCTCCTCACCCTGGCACTGTCCATCCCCGTAGGCTGAGGACAAATGATGGGGCGGTGATACTCCCACTCACCATGCTCTTGCCCACCTATGCATCAATGACAAGAAGGGACGTCCCCTTCCAATCTGGCCTACGAGGGCTCAGCACCAGCATCACCTCACCTGCTGTCCAGGGCTCTTCTCCTCTGGTCCTGACCCTTCGCTCTCGGCCGGGGCTGTGAACACTAGAGATGCCAGGGCAGGGCCAGGGCGTCAGGCAGCAGGGAGTGGCCTGCACTGTGTTCCATTCCCGCCTCTGGCTCCCACCTCTACTCACCACTGTCGCCAGGGCCCTCCTCTGAGCTGCGGATGCTGCCTTCCCCATCCTCGGTCAGCTCATCCCGCTCACTCTGGGGCCAAATGGGGGGAGGGCTCAGTCCCCGGACCCTCAGCCTCAGAGACTCCTGCCCCCCAGGCGCCCCTCTGGTGCCTGACATACCAGGCTCCGCGTGGGGGACTCAGAGGTACTGCTGAAGCTGGAGCGGTTCATCAGTGCCAAGGAGGTGCCATAGCGCAGCGTCTCGTAGACGGGGTCTACCTTCCCGCTGGCCCCTGCCAAGGAGCCACCCTAAGGCTGGGCACCCAGCTGCCAGCCTTGCTCTGCCCTGAAGCCCCGGATCACTTTCACTCTCTCGGCCCCAGCCAAGATGTCCTTCCTTTAACCACCTGCCCCATCCCTCCCCCAGGCCCCTCTCTGCCCACACCAGTCTTCCCCAGATCCTCTTGGACTAACTCCCCAGCCTTCATATCTCTGGACACCTTCCCTATCCTTGCAGATGAGGACAGCGCCTACCTTATCCTCTATTCCCTATCCTTCTCGGTTCAGGCCTTCGTGCAAATGGTGATTAATGGATGATTTGTGTGATTATCTATTTCATGTCTAGCTCCCTTACTAGACCATGAACTCCACCTTCTTCAGTGCTGTGTCCCCATGTCTAGCACAGTGCCTGGCACTTAGTAAGTGTTGATAAAATGCCTGTTGAAGGATGAATGAATGAATGGATGGATGAATGAATGCATGAATGAACCCTACATTCGGGACAAGGGCATTCAGAGAAGGGAAGTGCCAAGAACCAGAAGAGCCATGCAACTCAGGTGCCCATCTGAGGAACGTGTGGGTTTCTCACCACACTACGGTGGGATCAGGGGCAATGGGGGGGACACTCACCAGTGGGTGGGGACTCTCTGCTTGTGACACAGGCTGGGGGTGGTTCATGCACCAGGAGGGGGGAGCTGAAGTTTCGACGGAAGGAGGAGGACTAAGGCAAGAGGGAGGCAGAGAGAGGGCATGGGGATGTCACAGCCGACCGAGAGCTTGGCCTTCCCCAAGCCCAAGGACTACTCCACAGGAGGAACCCGTCTGGAGGGGGGCGCTCATTCCCCCACATGCCAGTCCTGGGGAGCACTCACAGCCAGCCAGCCCTGCATGGTCCCCACTCACCACCTTGCCTGGGCATTGCTGGTGGGAGATCTCCTCGGAGCACCAGAGGTGGACGCTGACTTTGCACGTCTTACACCGCAAACCCTGCTTGGAGTTTCCTGGGAAGAATTTGGCGTCAACAAGAGGGATTCGGCAAAGGAGGAGGCATCCGAGGGCAAGGAGCAAAGAGGGCAGGTTAGGCCATGGGACAGAGGAGGGGGGGTTGGGCATCCTCATGTCCGCCTCGGGGTCTAGTGCTTACCCCTCATACAGTCAAGGCACCGAAGCCTGAGTTGTTAGTACCTACGGCGACACTGGACACCCCCCCCCAAATTGTTCATTTGTCCACCCAGCGTGAGGGGCACAGTTAGGACTGCGGGCCCAACATCAGACGGTTCCCTAGGAACACTCCCCACACCCACCCTGGCCCCTCTCCTTGACAGGCCAGGCACCTACCCACAATGATCTGGTGGCATAGCTCACAAGGGCTGGCTCTCTTGAAGACGTGTTCCTGGAAGCTGTGCAGCCTTACTGGTTTGAGTGGTGCCAGGGGCCGTGGGATTGGGCAAGGGGAGGGGGCCGGGGTAGGGAAGCTCCCGTCTGTAGATGCCGGTGGTGGGGAGGGAGGGGGCAGCGGGGTCGGGGGCGTCAACAGCACCTCAGTGGGGCACTTGAGCTCAGAGCCTGAGCGAAGGAAGAAGTTCTCCACACTCTTACTTCGGAGGATGGTCTTGAGGGAAAGTGAGCGCTTGAACCGCTGGAGCTGAAAGGGGAAGCAGGGGTGGGGGTGGGGGGTTATAAGTGGAAGCCAGAGGGGACCAGGTCTGGGCCAGGATGTCTCCTTGGTCAGTGGCAGCCTGAGGCTGAGGGCCAGAGGTGAGATGAAGTACTGAGAGGCTGCCACGTTCCAGAAGGTGGTCACACTCCCGGATGCCCACGGGAGCCCGGTGGGTAACCTCCATGAGCCAAGGGGTTCTGGCTGGGCCCGCAAGATTGGAGTGGTGAGGGCGGAAGGGGGACGGGCCCGTCAGAGAGCAGCTGCTGGTGCGCTCCAGACAACGTAGGCCTGTCCTCGGGGCCAGCCCAGCAGTGCCAGGTTTTCCACTTTTTCAAAAGAAATCTAGACTCTTATGTGAATTTGGATGGAAACAAATTCAAGAGGTTTTATTTCCCTTTTTTTTTTTCATTGCAGAAATGGTAGTGTACTATGTTTCCTAGCCTTGCTTTTCTCACTTAACAGTAAATCTTGGAAATCATTCCATACCAATACATAAAGACTTTCATCATTCATGTTTACGGCTACGCAGGATTTCATTGAATGGGTGTACCATTTACTCGAGTTAAAAAGAATAATACTTTGGGGGTGCCTGGGTGGCTCAGTTGATTGGGTGTGGGACTTTTGATTTCGGCTCGGGTTATGATCCCAGGGTCATGGGATTGAGCCTG